ACTTAGGGGACTCCGGCTGCCAGTTTATTTATGCTATTGATGTGATATACATAACTGAGCACTCGCATATTATTATGAGGCGTTGAGCATGACGGCATACATTTGAGCAGGTTGGCATATCCTTGAGTATACTTGGCATATTTATACCTACGTATATATATGTTTATTTTCTGGGAAGTATACAGGTTTTACGGCGAGGGGTTATATTATGTTTTATGAAATGGTTTTCGAAAAGATTTGTTTTGCCCACTCACGCTTTTGTTTTTGCGCCCCTCCAGGTTCTAGTAGCTTAGCGGGTTTGGTGGTGTTCCCGGAGGACGTCCCGGCATTCTGACAAACATTCACCTATGTAGGGTCACCTTCGGGTGTACTATGGTTGTAAAGTTTCTTTTGGACTGCTGTAGGTTTAAAGCTCTGAACTAAGCGTATTACTTCTACTAGCACATACTTATCACTTTATAATTGCTAGTTTTAAATTATTCGTACTTTTATATTACTGTTTTTAGCTTCCGCACTGTGCACATGGCTATGTCACTTCCACGTGACGGCCAGCATGCCCTGATCTCGGTCGGGGTGTGTCACTTACTCTTCATTAGGGCGTTTTATTGATCAATTTTAATTTAGGGGGCCATTTTGTATTCTACTCGTTAATTTTTACATTTGATAGTTTTCAACGTCTGTATTGTAAGTTTACTGTTAATAAATAGTTCAACATATCAAATCCCAAGATCATGTGGTGACATATTTTGTAACAACCCATCTCCAAAAATTATAGTTTTTATAATTTTAAAATGTGAATTTACAAAAATGCCATTTGAGGTAAATACGTTAACTTTTGTTGACCGCCTTGTCATGTCATGTAAGATCCACTTTTCTTGGCGTATAGTCGTAGTAATCATTGCTACGAATGCGCAGACGCAAATGGAACGTAATTTGGAGTTATAACGAAGAATTTATAAACGAACAAAGTTGAGGGCAAAATGGTCATTTGACCATAAATCTGGAAGGCTTTAGATTTTGTTGGAACACCAATCTGATGCCACGTGTGTGGCTAGGATGGAAAAGAAGGAAGAGAAAAGAAGAAGGTGTACGGTTAAGATAGAAAGAAGATGAGAGAAAGAAGTGGAGTGCGGACCAATCAAGGGGAGAAGGGATGGATACTGACCAATGGGAGAAGAAAGAAAGGATGGGAAATGAGAGAGAGGAGAAGCACAGGATCCATGACCCATTTCTTCTTTTTTGACCCGACCCGGACCGTTGCTATGGAATCTGACGGTTTTTCGTCTGTTTTTTTGGCAAATCACGTCACCTAACCACCTAGATCCAACTCCACAACCTTCTTCTTCAACTTCCACCCCAAATCCGACAGTTTTTAGCCTTGGTTTTGTAAAGGTACCACCGGCAGCATCATGGGAAGATCGGCAAAAATTCGTCGTTTTTACAAGCACCACCATCTACCACCACCCTTGTTCAACTCCCCTCAAGGTTTGGATCAAAGCCCAAATAAGTTTGAGGACGGCAGAGCTACAAATTCGATGAATCGAGGTCCACTCATTTTAGGGTTTCTGGTGATTCAAAGGCAATTTGGGGTGTTTCCTGGCCGAATTGGACTTCGGTCCAGGTATGAAAGTTGTTCTCTCATTGAAATCTTCATTTCTGTAAAATTTGGAAATTTTTGGAGTTGTTCGATTTTTCAGCGAGTTGGGGCGGCCGGTGGCGGCATGTGGGGGAAAAACCCGAGGTCCCTCCTTAGGTTTTCCGACGTGCTGAATCTAAATCCGTCGTCTATTTTCCCAAATTCTATCATTTAGGTATAGTTTTCCCTAATTGTGTTTAGGTGCGTTGGCGGAAAACGACGTCATCCTCGCTAGTTCGAGCGGTTCTCGGGCAATAAAATCTGTGAGTGGACCCCTTCTTAAACTATATGTTTTATAAATATTAACCTAGCATGCATGATCTATTTCACGATTTGAATGTGATTTATATTATGCCTTTATAGATTTCTATATTTATGGTTTAAGAGAAATTATGAATTATTTAAATTATTTTTACGAAGGTTATTATTTATCGAACCTACATTTCACTAAGTATGATGAATTATGGATTTACATATACAAATTATGTGGCTTTTGATCATGATTTATATTATGGTTCATAAGATGACGCTTTGAGTTTTGATGAGCTCTCATTTTGATATGAGATTTTGAGATATGCTTTTGGTACTTACCTAGTGAGTTATCATACGGCATATCCGCACACCACGTATATAGATGTCTATGGCCATAAGACACAGATGATGGAGGAGTGAGATATGATATATTATATACCCCTAGCTTCATTGCCGAAAGCAGTGTCGGACAACTTCACTAGCCACGGCTAGTGGCAGTGTGGATGTATTTTATTTTATACAGCTTCACCTTCGGGTGATGGATAGGTTATTCAGCTTCACCTTTGGGTGATGGACAGGTATTGCATTCAGGCGACTATGATATCCCTAGTTGAGTACCTCACTGATGAGATTTACAGATGATTTACGGATTTTCCTTCGGGCGTTATTACCATTTCTGAGCACTGGTTTTACATACATGTTTTACGAATGTTCTACATGGCATGCTAGGGTTTTTCATAAAACCTATATGTAGTATTATATATGTGTTTTCAAAACAGGAGGTTATTACGTTCATAAATAAAACGATTTTCTTATTATTAGTATTAATATAAATTATGGTCTATTCACCTTTTCTATTTTTGCGCCCTTCAGGAGTTAGGATCGAGTCACATGATCCCGGCGTCAAGGCACTTTCGTTTAGGCATCTTCGAGTCTTCTCAGTGTATGACTCATTCCTTTATGCATACCTTCTATTATAATTCTTTTACATTATTCTTAAGTAGTTGTATGCTCTAAACATGATTCTACTTTGGTTTAATTTGTTCTAATTACATATTTTATTGGTATACATGTTAAAAATGGTTTCGTCACCCTTGGATGTCGGTCAGCACGTGCCTACCCTAGTATGTAGGGGTATCGGGGTTGGGGCGTGTCATATTCTCTTGGTTGAAAATCAGATTTGCTAAAGGGTACGTATTTGTGAACAAGTAACCCCTTGACCAAGGAGTTAGGGGAATTTTAGGCCCGCCCATGGACATAGGCACAAGGAAATGCTAGGAAACCTGAGGCCCAAGGAATCCTGAGAGAACTGGCCCGCATGCTCAATTTGACCAAGACAAGAGAAAGGCTGCTGACTGAGAAGAACACGTGGGCATGCTGACATCTTATGCCACAAGTCTCCAAAAATAAGATCACTTAATTAAGTGCTGCTACTTGGACTTTTCAACAACGTGCAGAAAACATCAGAGGTCTATGATGGGATACAAGGGCAAGCCAGAGCAACCGAGGTCCGAGCGAGAAGTGTCACATCCCAGCCTAGGCCCCCACCACATCACCGGCTCAACTCCACCGTAGCACGATATTGTCCGTTTTGGGCCTCGACCACGCCCTCACGGTTTTGTTTCTAGGAACTTACATGAGAACTTCCCAGTTGGTCACCCATCCTAGGAATGTTCTCGTGCGAACTCGCTTAACTTTGGAGTTCCGATGGAACCCGAAGCCAATGAGCTCCCAAAAGGCCTCGTGCTAGGTAGAGATGGGAATATACATATAAGGCTTACAGGATCCTCACCCTTGAGTGATGTGGGATCTTACAAGAAGTGTCGGCCATTTGGGCTTTAAAAGGTGTGTTATCCGATTGCCAATACATCACTTCGTCGACAAAGGTCAGTCCGAGTACGTGAAAAATTGTTAGTATGCTAGTATAAGTGGTTGGTACATTAAATGCCGTTTTGAGAGGCCTAAAAGGGGCAAGGCCTGTATAAAGGGGTGAAGACCTCTATAATAGGCGTTAGATGAATCAGAGAGAATAGAATGAATGTATTAATCGAGCGCTATATAGCCTTGAAATCATGATATTGAGAGCAGCATAGTGGATGTAACCTAGTTTTTTAGGGATAAACCACTTACTTCTTTGAGTCCATTTAATCTCAACCCATCTCATTAGTCCATCTAATATCATTTATTTAAGTTTGTTAACCTTACAATTTTGAACGTTAACAAGTGGAAATAGTTGTGGGTTAGAGAGAAAGACAAGAAAGAGAGAGGGCATGGTTTATTCATTAAAAATCCTCTCAAAATTCAATACTATGTCAATTTTTCTAATTTTGGGTTGTGCGTTTTTGCAATTGGGGCGGATATAGTTCTGGGCTCTGTGTAAGAAGCGTCATCAATGTCATCATAAAGGCTTGGGAAACTTATCAGACATGCTCGCCGGCAAGGACAGGTGAGGAGTAGAGGGAGTCTGCTGGCAAGGTAGAGTCGGGGTGGGTGGGGATCACGGGGTCTTGTGTTTCCTGTTCTTTACTATTTAGTTTTTATTTTTTTAAATGGTGTTGGATGAATTTCAGTCAAAAAACACTTTTCACTCAAATAGATGGAGCACAGAGAGGCTCCGTAGAGTTCTGGGTAAAGAAGTTTGGACTAGTGAAATTCTCCTCCTCTTCCCCTCTTGACGTTCAAATATTATCGAATATCTTCAAATGAATGATACATGTCAGATTCTGTATCGATCAGACTAGAACAAAATTGGCGTGCTTAGTAACTGAAATCTTGACTTAGTGTGCATCATGTCGATTTTCAATTCTTCAACTTTCTACTGAAGACAATATGAAACATCGTAGTAAGTACCAAATAAAAAAGTGCAACTTAATTGGTTTGTGCTAGTCCATATATGTTATTCAATTCCTACTCTTTGACCGACTTGTAATAATGGCGAAACAGTTGCACTGGGCTACGACTAGTAGTGCCACCAAAATTATAACCTTTTGTTTTATCCTCTGGCTTGATTTCTATCTTTCCAATATTAAAACTAATTAAGATCTTGACTTGTCCGCTAATTCAGAAACTGTGAGCGAAGGCATGACATCACATCACTCTACTATAATATGAAACATTTTTTCTAAATGAAACAGCTGAGCTTTTTGCCATTTCCGAAAAGATGAAGAGACCAGCACAACTAGTTTTCGTTCCCTCCCCGGTTATCGGCCACATCGTATCAACGATCGAGATTGCAAAGCAACTCGTTGCTCGGGACGACCAACTGTTTATCACAGTCCTCGTCATGAAGCTTCCCTACGACCAACCATTCACCAACACTGACTCTTCAATCTCTCACCACATCAACTTCGTCAACCTCCCCGAAGCCCAACTGGACACACAAGAAGCCATCCCCAAACCCGGGTCCTTGACCAGAATCCTCGTCGAAAATCACAAAACTCACATCAGAGACGCCGTTGTCAACTTACTCTCTGAGTCAGATCAGCCTGAGTCGGTGTCGAAGCCTCGGCTTGCCGGGTTCTTGCTCGACTTTTTATGCGCAACCCTAGTTGACGTGGCTGACGAATTTATGGTTCCCTCCTACGTGTTCTTCCCCTCCACCGCTTCGCTGCTCGCACTTTTGTTCCATTTTCAATTGCTTCGCGACGAGGGCGGCATAGATATAACTGAGTTTACGCGCTCGAGCGCTGAGTTGGCCGTCCCGAGTTTCATCAACCCTTACCCTACCGCAGTCTTGCCCGGTACGTTTGCGGACAAAGAGATCACCGGATCAATCCTCAACTCTACCAGCAGGTGTAGACAAATCAAGGGTATTTTGGTAAATACATTCTTGGACCTGGAGTTGCATGCTCTTCATTATCTTGATTTTGATGATAAAATCCCACCCGTCTATCCAGTGGGGCCCTTATTGAACCTCAAAAGTAGTGATGAAAATAAGGGTTCGGATATCTTCAGATGGCTTGATGATCAGCCCCCCGTCTCGGTGGTGTTCCTATGTTTTGGGAGCATGGGAAGTTTCGGTGAGGCCCAGGTGAAAGAGATAGCTTGTGCGCTGGAGCATAGCGGGCAGCGGTTTTTGTGGTCCCTACGCCGGCCCCCACCTAAAGGCAAGATGGCTATGCCAAGCGACTATGCGGATCTAAACGCAATCTTGCCGGAAGGGTTTCTTAATCGGACAGCTCCGATTGGGAAGGTGATAGGTTGGGCCCCGCAAGCGGCCATTCTGGCCCATCCGGCGACCGGTGGGTTTGTATCACATTGCGGGTGGAATTCCACGTTGGAAAGTTTATGGAATGGGGTGCCGATTGCCACGTGGCCAATGTACGCAGAGCAAAACCTTAATGCCTTTCAACTGGTGAAGGAATTGGGATTAGCTGTGGAGATTAAGATGGATTATAGGAAGGACAGCGACGTGGTGCTGAGTGCAGAAGATATAGAAAGAGGGATAAGTCAAGTGATGGAGCTCGATGGTGATGTACGGAAAAGAGTGAAGGAGATGAGTGAAAAGAGCAAGAAAGCCTTGGTGGATGGTGGTTCTTCTTACTCTTCATTAGGGCGTTTTATTAATCAAATTTAATTTAGTGGGCGGGTTTTATATTTTACTCGTTTATTTTGCATGGTGTAATTTGCAACGTTTGTATTGTAAATTTTCCATTAACATAGTTAAACGTATCAAATCTGAAGATTTTATGGTGAATTTTCTGTTCTTTTAAAATCTGACTTGCGTACGTATTTGTGAACAAGTAACCGTGATGTCGAGATTTTCAGAAAAATGGTCCTGTATTGATCAATTCAGCTGGTATGTGCGGCTAATACTGCCAAAACGAAGTCAGACAGCATGCATGCCTAAAATTTACTTTGACATCATTTTCGCATGGAGTTGTTCACTAAAAGTGGAAGCTCGAGATGACCAACTCTTCATTACAAACTGTGAGCATTGCCAACTACTTAATAGACACGTACTAACACTGAAATTATCACCGAGACGCGTAAAATGTGTCTCAATCAATTTATTTGAGCAGATAAATTTACATTCTTCAGTTGTACATGGTGCTTGTTGTAAACTTGTAATCCATCGATATAGCACTCAATCACCAAATACAACTGAATCAAACCTATGATGCACAGATACTTCATACATATACAGATAAGTCTTGCGTGGTTGTGTGGTATTCAAGGAACTACGAGGAAATAAAGTTCACTGATATACAGTATCTTTCATCAGCTGGTATACAGTACCAAAACACTACGCTCATCTGTGATTTTTCTGTGGCCTATATCACAGTCTTTTGCTTACAACTAGTAATAAATTGTGCGAGTTTTCCTTTTCTCTTAATTTCTATTGGTTTCCAAATCCTTGACCTCAACTGCAGACAACTGCATGTACTACCAGACCAAAAAAATTAGCAAATGACAGCAAAGGCATGACATCATCACCTCTATCTAAAAAATTCCAAGAATTAAAACCCCACCGCCAACCACCGGTCATGCACATGATATATATGACTTAGAATAATGCTGGACTATTTGAATTTTATGTTTATGATCATAATCAATTATATTATATGTTATTGTGTAAAGATTAAAGTTCACATCTATAAAAAAATAAAAATAAAATAAAAGTATGAGATTGTTATGTCATTGAACTGTATAAAAATATATAGTCGAAACCGATAAAAGTATTCTGAACTGTTTATCTACTTGTTGCAGTTGAATCGTTGATTGACTTGACAATCTTTGTTTTAATTTAATTTTTTTTGTAAAGGTAACTTTACATAATGGTTTACATCATTAACGGTTCGATCGTTACCATAAAGTTTTGTAAATCATCCACGGAACATTTACAAAATAATTCCTCCTCATCTTTGAATAGTCAAGAATATTCTACAATTCATACATGAAATTAGTGCATTTGAAAACTCACTAATACAAATAGATCCCAGTGTTATTCAAATATAATGCACTAAAATGTAATTTACGTAGAATTATATATAAAGATGATTTTCAACTAAATTTGGATTTTAATAAAATACTTCTCCACTCTAAATCCAAATCAAGAAGCCAGCAGAGGTAGTTTCGTTCCAGACCCAGGCATTTGCTCTCCTCAGCCGACCCGTGCCTGAGCCACCGTAATTGGCCAGATCTGTGTTTTTATTTCTTTTGTCTTCTCTCTTCCTCTGCTCCCTAATGAGTCAATATTATATTATATATTTTACCTTAATCTTATTAATAATTTATTGGTTATTATGTGTGAAGTTTGATACTTTGTTATATATTTTCAATGTAAGACATTCGAATTCCTCTGAAGCAAAAAATAATCAAACGGATGAGTTTTGGAGTGATTCTAATTGGAGGACGTGCGTGTGCCTTTCAAAATAATTGTATCAAAATTTCAGGTTTTTCTACCAAGTCATTTGACCGTGGCAAATGAAATAAAGACCCAGCCCACAGCTTTCCCATATTGCCCTTTCTGGACATTTTGGGTATTTTGAAGGTCAAGATAGAATATTTTGGTCGATCAAAAGACTAATTTACTGAGAACTCCGAATTCTAGTTCAAATAGGAGACCTTTTATTTTCTATTTTATCATTTAATTATGTTTCCTAATTTTATTCTAAAACCTTTTCAAGGTAAAGTTTTATTTTCTAGTAGTATAAATAAGACTTTTTAGCCATTAGAAGAGAGGGGAACGTATGTGGAGAATTTAGCTAGGCTTTGACGCTTTGTATTTTCTAGGTGTTTTCTATCCTTTTTTTATTTCAATAAAATTCTTTTGTTTTATGGTTGCTCGTAGCTAATTTTCGTTTGCTAGGGCGATACCTTGAGCCTTAGCATGAATATGTAGTTTTTATTTAATTCCTTATGATATTATGCATGCATACCTTGAATTATTAATCATTATGCTTAAACTGTCTTCAAATCTTAATGCTTAGCTATCATTGGGATATTTAGATAAGTAATTGGATGAAATTCGATGGGAATACCACTAGGGAATTGAGTATTGCTTCTTGTGATTGATAGTTGTAATTTCACCTAGGATGAATACCACATCTTAGGGGTTGCATGGTTTTTCAAAGGGTTTTCACAAAGCGTAATGAGTCATGCATGTTTATATTTGATCTGAATACCACAGACGGATTGCATGTTTGATATACGTTCTAACTTGAATAACACAAGTAGAATATGCATTAGGAAAACCTAACCTTCAAAGTTGCATGGGTAATTCATAAGTAATTGGTAAATCTACATAGGATTGTTAAGGGGACGGCGGAACCCTAGGCTTTTACAATTTGGTTTTCAAAACGCTTTCTTTTGTTTTCTTTACTTTGCTAATCTCTATAATTATTTTAATTAAATTCGTTTTTATTATTTTTAAATTCAAAATCAACCTTTTCCAATATTTGTTTTCAAATAATTAGCTAAGAATTAGTTTAAATACATATTATTCATTCAATCCCTACGGAAAACGACCTTACTTGAGCTACTATACTACAACAACCTTGTTCTCTTGCTAGTATTTTTAAGTGTTTTTATCCCTACTTTTGCAGGTGGTAAAATCCTTATCACTCCCTCTCCCGATCCAAATTTACAAGCACTAAAGTAGGGTTTGTCTTTTGCTGCAATTAAATGAAAAAAAAAAAAAAAACGTATTAGAGGTCAGTTGCCTTTTGGAAAAGAGATAAATTTGAGTGAAAATAGAGAAATCAGAGTGGAAAGAAGGAAAAGAGAAGGATATGGACGAAATTATTTCGCGTACTTCTTCACTCTCTTCGTATTAAGCTCGCTTCTACATTGTATGTACACGAGATGCATATGACCTACACATGTTATGCTCATAGATCTGAGCTCAACCCAAAAATTTGTGAAATTTTTTCCGTAATGTGCTTGTGGAGTGCATATTGTGTGCATGGCTACATCTTAATATAAGAATCAAGAATTTTCACTAGTTATGATTGATAGGAGCATATTTATGCACCTTAGTTAGCTAGTTCTTATGCATTTTTGTTATGTTTTATTCGTTAAAGTAGTCTTTTAAGCTACTTTCATGTGTTTTCAGGTTTAAAGGACATATTACATGAAATGATGCAATTGGGAGCTTTTGGAGCAAAACTGAGCTGGAATGTGGTGTATGCAAATGGAGCACGAGGAATGAACGAGGTTGAAGGTCAAAGGAGCTTAAGAAATGAAGAAATGAAAGTGAAGAGCAAGGAAGTCGGAATTGGTAACCAAAGTTTCTAAAGTTGGAAGTTTCTATTCTTGGAGGTTTCCATTGTCGTGAGTTTCTATTCTTGGCTTTGGGCTTTTAGATGACCTAAACCCTAACCTTAGCCCATTTTAGAGCCATTGCCATGGGCTTTAGCCCAAGTCCTTTCCCTTGCCATGCAAGGGGAGGCATTTTAGGCCCAAATCCATGCATTAAGCCCTTCACCCTAATTGGCCCAAATCCATGCATTAAGCCCTTCACCCTAATTCTTCCTCCTAATTAGTGCATCCCACCATTCCATTCCATAATTTCCATTAGTGCATCCCACCATTCCATTCACACTTAAATGCCCATTATCCCATTTTTTTTAGCTTTTAATTCCACACCATCTCATTATCCTTTACATCCACTAAACCATGCATCCACATTCACCTAAATAAACCCTAAATTACACCCACTAAACCATCCATCCACCATAATTCCCACCATCCACACCTTTTCCCATCCACCAAATACCTTAAACAAACATCCATTAACACCCATTCTCTTCCTATAAATACCCATTCATTCCATTCACCAAATCATCTCATTTTCCATTGCAATACACAAACACTTCTCCTTCCATTTCATACCATCACACAACCTATCCTTAAACCTTGTGCTACAACAACGAGGAAGAGAAGAGTGCCTAAACGTTCATACAATTCAAGTTTGAGTTGTTGGAATGTTTAGGTGTTTCTTTGATTTCAAAGTTTCATTTTAATTCTCTTTGTTTTGTACGTATAAGGAATGGAAGAGAAGAGTGCTTAAACGTTCATACAATTCAAGTTTTGAGTTGTTGGAATGTTTAGGTGTTTCTTTGATTTCAAAGTTATGAGGAACTAAACCCCCTTTAGCTAGGGGGTGATTCGAAACTATGTTTATATTTGCAATATGAATTGATTAACTTTCGTTGGAATTTCATAAGTTTTGGATTCAATTTGTTTAACCGTTTGATTGATAACTTATTTATGAATGTTTATTAAGAATGCGCGCTTAATTTTCATGCATAAATATGACGCTAGAATATAAGTGAATTTCACCTAATCGTTATGAACTTATATTCACAAGTAGTGGAGGTTGCTTATAAACAATCGCGTTAAATGAATTCTTGGCACGAGTTTCATGCTCATCATAGTAACGAATGCCTCGTCAACACTTATAGTTTTCATAATGCTTAATGATCTTTGATTGTATCTTTATTGTGCTGTTCACGTAAAGGACTTTTGGAGAATGTTGTGAATTGCGTTGCGCAAACCCATCCAATTCATTAACTTAAGGAAAACTTGACGGTTAATTTAAGCGGACCTAATTAATCCGGAGTGTTGAGTTTCATAATTTATCGAAAGACCAACTAAGAATCAATCTTGTATGCAAGTATAACATGTGTGGAGAAGAACCCCTTAGCTAGTTTCCCATCCATTAAATTCCATCACATTCATATTTACATTCTG